CGCTCCCTCTGTACCCGCTCGCCTCCCATTGGGGATTGGAAGGGTTCTGCTTCAAAATGACCCATCTGGGGCCAACTGATGGCTTTTTTTATGCCCAACCCATAAAAATAAGCAGAAACCCGGCCTCGGGGCCAGATCCAGGTGGATCCCAGCACCGCTTCTGCCCTACTCAGGCATTGCTCCTGGTCCCGGAGCTCCTCACACCATTTCCTTCTAAGCTCTTTTCCAGAAGAAAGTATCTTCTCTGCTTAGTTCCCTTTTCTTTTCGTGTGTCTTGCAGAAAATCTATTTCAGTTGACATTTTCCGTGAGTTTTTTCCAATGAAAAACAGCCACAACACGTCTCCATTTTTTTGGGATGCAAACAGCCCAAATTATTCCTTTTTTTTTATTTTTTTTTAATTTTTCTCAATCCAAACTCGGATGGATCCAGGGGTTTTTTTCCCTTGGGCTCCCTTGAAGCCAAGCCCAGACATGCGTGTGTAGAGATACACGTGTGTAGAGATAACACGTGTGTATCTCAGAGATGAAGAGAACCAGAGTTCTCCCTAGTGTTGTGTTCTTGGGCCGGACCAGCCGGGTGGCAGCATTTGGCCACAGCAGGTTTGCTCTGGGGTGACTCCACCAGTGCATTTTGCCATAACCACAAGACTTCCAGGCGGATCCCTTTGCTTCGTGGCTTCCTGCGGTCCTTGAGTCAGGCTCAGCACATCCAAGCCTCTGCCTTCAGTGCAGCCACCGCTGCTGATGCCCCAGTTGGGCTGCCCCACTTTTTCTCCTGCTTTTATTCCAGAAAACAAGATTGTTTCTGTATTCTCATGCTTCAAAAGGGGCAAATACCAGCATTGGATGAACTGCTTCATTGCTCCACAGCAAAACGAGAGGAAGTCGCAGGTTTTCTTCATTGGGGATGGGATGGGCATAAAATGCTTCTTGATAATCTCCCAGTTGCTCATGGCACTGCTTATTCCCATAATTAGAAGGGAATGGGGTTAGTAACAAAGCTGGAGTGTGTTTTATGGGGCAGCACTGGCCAACGTTGCACAGGGGGGAGAGGGATTTGCAGCTCTTGAAGCCCCAGTAGAAGTTCAGATGACCAGGAAGTATTTGGTAACGCTGGAGGTTGATGGCACAGCCGAACCCTGTTGTAGGAGCTTCAGGAAAGCCTGGCCTTGAACACTGCCAGGGATGGGGCAGGACTGAAGGACATTCAGGAGTGAACAGGAGCTTTCCAAAGCCTTCACTGCGAGGTGAAGCTCTTCCCATGCATCTTGCACCCAACCTGCAGCATCAGTGAGTCGGACCCTGCCCTCACTCTGGGCCTTGCCTCTCTTGAGTGCATGGACCATGAGCCCACACAGAGGAGACTAGAATGACAGCAGAAGCCAAAACCAGGGGAGGAGAGCAAGTAAGAGTCACTAATGTCATTAAAGGAATTACTGGAGAGGATTTGCCATAACAGATCAGACCATCAGTCCTTCAGGGCCAGCCTGCTGACTCTGGCAGCGACCAATATGGTCTACATCAGGGGAAAGGCAAAAATCCCCTGCTAGTGTGGGGCAGTAATTCCTTCCTGACCCCTTTGGTGATCAGCTTATGCCCTGAAGCATGAGATTTGATTACCCTCTTAGACTTAGAAGGTTAATTCTTCTAGATGAGACTCATGCACGGCAGTAGGGGAAGGTTTGGGGTTTCTGTCCCAGGTCACAGGGAGATGTGCAAGGCAGTGTTGGCTGATGCTTCTGTGCGTTGGGACTGACTAAATGGGAAGTCTTTGCCTTTCTCTGCAAGAAGCACGGGTACCAAGACAGAAGGATGTTCCTCCACCCTCTTCCTCCTTGCAGAGGGAATAACCCCTTGTCCATAGAGGGATGATTCAGTGCTTTGGGTTCCGCTTGGCTCAGCTCAGGTTGTTGGTTGATTTTGGGCAGGTAACCCCATGCTCTCCTTCATTGCTCAGGGACAACAAAGAAGTGTTAAGTGCTTCATCCCTGGCAGCGCTCAAGGCCAGGTTGGACAGAGCCTTGGGTGACATGGTCTAATGTGAGGTGTCCCTGCCCATGGCAGGGCCTTGGAACTGGATGATTTTAAGGTTCTTTCCAACCCAAACCATTCTATGATTCTATGACAATACCCAAACCATGTTTCTAGTCTTCATGGCCAGCATGTGCCCCCTTGCTCGCACGTTGTGGCCTCATCCAGTTGCCTCTCCCAAGGAACAAGTGATAGAACAAGAGGAAACAGCCTCAAGCTGCCCCAGGGCAGGTTTAGCTGGAGCTGAGGAACAGTTCCTTGCCCAGAGGGTGCTCAGGCATTGGAACAGGCTGCCCAGGGCAGGGCTGGAGTCACCGTCCCTGCAAGTGTTCACAGCCCGGGTAGACGAGGCGTCAGTGCCAGGGGTTAATGGTGGCCTTGCCACTGCTGGGAATGGTTGGACTGGATAATCTTAAAGGTCTTTTCCAACCCAGCTGATTCCATGATCTTGGTGGCCAGGGGTGCTCATGGTGCCCAGCAAGGTGGATTTTGGCGAGGTGCCCCCAGCACCAGGCGCTGCAGGAACAACCACCCTCAGCTGTTCCCTCTGTCCTGGTGGTGACACCGTGTGTTTTCCTCTCAGTCCTGGGAGCAGCCAGGGCCAGCACCCGCCTGCAGGGATTTTGGGTGGCAGAGAGGTCCTGGATGCCACCAGGAAGGGGGACACCAGCAATGTGAGCACTGTGCTTGCAGCCCGACCATGCCGAGAGCAGGCGCACGTGGCACGTGGGGCCAGCCCTGCACTTCCCAAGGGATGAGGAGATTAGGGCCCAATCTCGTTACTGCTTAATCATCTCTGGATGATGGTGGGGCAGGACAGGCCGTGTGTGCCCAGTGCTGCCCCTGCTCTGCCCTCCCGCTACACACAGGGATGCGGCTGCTGCTTCAGGGATGCTT